GATTGAGTTTAAGAGATTGTTTTAAGCAGCAAAATTGTTACAGTTAATATATATGGATTGGATTTGGAGCTTAAGATTCAGCAAACATAGCCCCTTTAATATCCTAATTAACATGCACATACTGTCCTGCCACCTAAAAGATCAAATTTTGCTTCTTAAAACAATCTCTTAAACTTAATCTACTATCCCTCAGTAGATTTATAAGAAGATTGCAATTTAATTGATCTAATAAAATACATAAAGATAAGACAGTCCAGTCTGGAACTGTAGTCGATATCACTGCTTTGCTTTTTTTCCACTCTGGTGAGAGACACATCAAGGTGGAAGTCTTAGTCATTGCTTCTTTCACTTAAATGCCCCAGCCTTCCAGGATCTTCTTTCCCTCCTTAGGGGATATGTTTTATGTGACAATTCCGTATTGATGAACGATCATCAGAACGTGCAAGGAATTCAATTCTGGTGAAGAACACTTGTGATTTCTTTAAGCTCTTTGTATTTTAGTATTATAGGAGCAGAGAGATCCAAAAAAACCTGTATGGCAGCATAATGTTGTAGTAGGTCTTTTACATTTCTGGCAGCTTCAAGAGTGTATCTTTAGCATGATAGTAGTGCATGTGTGTCAGGATGTCCCTGGGGGGTCTCAGCTGGCAGAAACCTCATTTAGCCACTCTTTGTGTTCTATCCAATAGTAAGTTGTCCAAAGACAGATCCACTGTCAAGGTCTTAAAGTAGCCCATCAGGAACTCAAGTAAGTCTGATCGCTGTATCTCCTCTGGGATTCCTCTCAGCCAAAGGTTCTGCCTACGGGTCCTGACCTCTATGTCCATAATTTTCATCTGCGCAGTTTTCAAATTTTGTTCCAAGTGCTGCATGTGTTTGACCATGCCATTATGGGCTTATGTGAATTCATTCATTTATTGTTCTGCATGGGCCATATGATTTCCAAGGTCTCGGAGGTCCTTTTTGAGGTTGTTGTTTGAGCGATTTATGTTTTGTAGCAGTTTCTCTGGCATTGCATCTAGACAGTTTTGGAGGATTACTTGAGTCACTGACATTGCACCAGAGAGCTCTGCAGGGGTAAAGCCCCCTCCACCATCTTGGTCAACAACTGCTAGACCCAAATTCTTTACAGTCGATGTGCGGGAAGTAAAGAAGCTCAGCCTGTTTCCCTATTCTTCCTGCCTCTTGTGTTTGTGTTGGGCCATTGGTAGTATGTTAAAATAAATATTTCCAATTATTGCTTAAATTAACTCCTTTAGGGTTAGTTGTTTTCAGAGCTCGCTTACAGTGCAATTATTCATAGTGCTCACTAGGCCACGACTCGAAGAGTGTTTTTTTTTTTTTTAACAGAAAGGCTGTAAGGGAGACTGGCCCTCAAAACATGATGACAATGAGCACGAGCTAATGGCATCCAACTATGCAGCATCTTTACCTAATACAGCAGCTGCACAATGGGCCAGCAGACTCACCAAGAACAACCCTGGAAAGAAATGTTAAAGGCAGAAGAAAAGTGGAGTATTGAACAGTCAAAGAAGAAGTAATCCGGTCCTGCAAAATGTCGCCTGTTAACTAAAGCAACTGATAGTATTAGCAACAGCACCTTTACAAGTAGAAGAAGCAGTGTAGCCAGAACCATCAGTGCCACAAAAGCTGGAAGCAGCACTGTATTGCTTAGAAGTATTGCTGCTACTCATAGTACTACACATATTTTGGAAAGAAAGGTAACAGCAGCAGAAGAAAGTACCAGAATGAGAGCTGTTGAGGATGGTCAGTCAGCAGCAACTGTGTCACTACTATTACCTGCATGCATAGCCCTATACTGAGAAAGTGTTTGAAGGAATTCAGGCTTGGAGCATGAAAATGATTTCAATTATTATTCAGGGGAAAAACGAGGAGCATCAGGAGTATATGGTGATGACTCCTTCTCAAAAACAAAAATCGAAAGGTTGTAGTAGTACTGCTATTAGTTTGACAAAGACAATAGTTACATAGTCCCCCAGTACATGCCATCTCATAATCACCAGTGTCACACTAACCGCTAGTAGTACTACAACAGCAGGTAGTGGTACAACAACAATCACATTAATAAAAAGCAGCAGTGGCACTTCAATGGAGCAGAATTAGAGCAGCAGCAGATCCCCCATTGAGCAGAAGCAGGTCTACAGCACAGGGGAATGCATGGGATCATGTTAATAGTTTGGGAAATGGTCATATGACAAAAAACAGGATGTGTGAAAAGGAGGTTAACATGGGAAAAGTGTTGGGACATTTGACATTTCCATGATTCTCTATAGCAGAATCATATTCACATCTCAGAAAATACAGTGTTTACATGAGAAAGGCTGCAGGGAGCTATAGTTGTCACCTGAATAACCTCATTAAGCTGAAGTTGTTCAGGTGACTATAGTGTCCCTTTAATCTCTATCTCTATTATATTTTCATCTATTGTATTCCTGTGTAATTTTATGACCCTCATGTATATTAGCTTTTAAAATAGTATGTTCTTATACTTAGACACGTTTTCAGTAGGCCACCACTAACAGTACTGAATTTAAAAATTTACCTAGAAAGTATTTTACATTCTAATACAATAGATGAAGTGTATTAAATGTATTCATGGGATGTATTTGATGTTTTTGCTGTGCACATCTTACATCACATCATATTTTGCTACTAAAATTGTGATGTGTCCTGCAGAAGAAACTCAATATTTTTTGTTGGCAGATTTGTTACCTCCCTATTATTAATAAACCGAATCAGAAGGGAGTGTGTTCATATGGAATATTCATCTTGGCATGCAAGCTGTTCTTTAATACTACAGTGCACACTTAGGTTCAGTGGGCACTAAACACTGCTGCGGTAGAAACCAGTGCTCAATGCATCCGGTGTACATGTGGGAGATCTTTGAAGAGCAGATGGTCACAAGTAGAAAGGATTGTATATTTATGAAGGACAATAATGAAGAGAGAAACTAAAGATTGCAATACTATAAAATCTTGGCATTCTTCTAGTCCAATTCACTAATGTAACAAAAGGCCCTGAGCAGTATAATCAAAACACACACATTTTCTTACTTTTGACTTAGTGAGACACATAGGAACCATAATGAGTATGAGGTTTTCATAATAATTTTATTACTGCCAATGTTAAAGCAGATTTCTCTTAACCACACCATGACAGATGAAGATAGCATACTATAACTGCCTAGCTATGCTTGTATTTGCCTAACCAATTGTCCTGAAGGAGTTAAAAATAAACGCCATGTGTATAATTCCAGCTTCAATTCACAATATTCAAAGACAAACAAAATAAAAAAAAGCCTTCCAATGTGTTCTTTGCATTGGATAACATAGGAAAATCAAATATTAATTATTGTTTACATTATTTCTTCATTTTAATCTGTAGAGAAATTAATTAATGTCCATGAGAATGGTAACATAATAGGTTATTGTACTACACTGTTTAGGTCAGGAGATTTATGTAAAGCACAGTTAATTAAACTCACTTGCATAAATCCCAACAGCATGCTAACCTAGATTCACTGAAGCTTTGGGTTTTAAGGAGTTTCATTAACTTCTGCAATTGAACTATTGAACTTTAAACATATGGACTTAAAGCGGCACTGTCATGCCAAATCCCGTTTTTTTTTTAACCCCCCTCCCGCCTCCACTACATCCAATTGACCCACTAGTCACCCCCAAATGCCCCTAAGCCCCCCACATTACCTATTTTTAAATCCTTATTTTCTGCCCCGATCTTGATTCAGGGCGCAGCCATCTTTGTGTGGGTAGGTGAAGTCCCTCAGGGACACGTCATCAGCCCACACTAGGCAGACTGTGAGATTCCCGCACATGCCCAGTGAAACACCTGGACATGCGAACGGGAATTTCATCTATTCATTCATTCATCAGACAGACGAATGAGTGAATAGAAAGATCAGCCGAACAAACAAACACAATGTATCATTGTTAGTTTGTTCGTGCAGGTTATTACAAGGAGGGAGCTACCGGCGTGTAGCTCCCTCCTTGTAATATGTAACTATAGAAGCGGCAGGGAGCAGTGCTCCCCACCACTTCATAAGCCCCCCCAGTACACCCTCTCACTCTATGGGGGTCAATATGACCCCCATAATAGCACAAGGGAGATAAAAATCTCCCAAATGCCCCTACTCGCTATACCACGAGTAGGGGCATGTCTACTAAACAGTGAGCAGCCTATGGCTGCTCACTGTTGAAAAAAAAGACATAAATTACAATAAGGGGGGGCGGACCTATTGTCCTCCCCCCCTCCCCACCTGGTGGTGGGGGCCATGAAGATAATGAGGGGGCCTGCTGTCCTCCCATTCCCTGCGCGGTGGGTGGGGCCCTAATAAAACAATAAGGGGGGGGACCTACTGTCCTCCCCCCCTGGCCCCCACCCCTGAGCGGTGGGTGGGGGCCCTAATAAAACAATAAGGGGGGGGTACCTTCTGTCCTCCCCCCCTGGCCCCCACCCCTGAGCGGTGGGTGGGGGCCTTTATAAAAACAATAAGGGGGGGACCTACTGTCCCTCCCCTGGCCCCACCCCTGCGCGGTGGGTGGGGGCCCTAATAAAACAATAAGGGGGGGGACCTACTGTCCTCCCCCCTGGCCCCCACCCCTGCGCGGTGGGTGGGGCCCTAATAAAACAATAAGGGGGGGGACCTACTGTCCTCCCCCCCTGGCCCCCAC